CTTTTTGAAACTCCCATAGCACGAAATAGGAGTTTTAAGTTGGTGCCAGACGGAAAAATCGCACTTCTTGACCGTCTCCCTTTCATAGGCAGTCTCAATGATGCAAATTATTCGATCAGTATTCGAAAATCGGATGATATTCGAAAATTGAATCACATTCGAGAACCGAATAATATTCGAACTTCGAATAACGAATGATATTCGATATTCGAATATTATTCGATTCGAAATTTTTATTTTCGAATAATATTCGATAGTCGAATATTCGAAATTTCCGATTTTCGAATAATATTCGAAAGTCGAATATTTGAAATTTTCAATTTTCGAATATATTCGATATTCGAATATTCGAAAAAAATTTCGAATTTCCCCAAGTATACTAGGTCTGCGTTATCATGTGGATTGCGAGGGAAGCAGCAGGAATATATGTATTCGTTAGATTAAACCTCGCAATTTTTAGACGAGTGATTTGACTCTGATTGATCTTCCCTAATGTGAGACATCGAAAGCGAAAGTGGGACAAGCAAGATTTTGGCTTGCTTGTGATCCCATGATTTAGGTTGTTTGAAGTGGGATTCCTAATGGTTTCAAATAAGGAGTAGTAGTATTTTGTACCATGTGCAAAAAAGTAGTCATCTCACCTCTAAAACATGATTAAAATGCTCGAAAATAACCATTTCAGTTGGGTATCCCAAACTCTGGAAACTTCAGGATTCGCAAAATCTTGGCCCACAGGAGTTTTTTGGCAAGGCTAGAAACGAAAATAATGCAATGCTTTGAAGGCTCCTTTGTCATGCACATTGCTTTACAGTAGGAGGTCAGTATCTCAGTATGTTTTTTTCTGTATAAGGTCTGATTTTTAACGAACGTTATGTTATCTTGATTGGTTTGCTTCAGCTGATTGACCAAGATTGGTACAGCAGTATTTATTTGACAGACTGACGTTTCGGCGGTTTCGCCTTCTTCAGAGTTTAAAAAAGTTAAACCACATCAGTAACCCCGACAAAGATTCCGTCGATAACAGACCAAAACCAAATTTTTTAGAAAAGCAAGAGCGCAATCAAAACTACAAGATTAAGCCATGTTTGGTGCAGACTACTTAGGTCAAATGTACTACTTGACTTTTATAGCTCTGCCTAGTGACCCGATTTCGACCTGACAAAAATATTCAAAGGTCGCAAAAGCTCTGATATAGTGCCAGCTCATTAGTAGCCGCAAGCACTCGTCCTTCCGTTGATTTTTGGATTTCGCGTAGCTATCCAAAACGCCTCGAGTGCCTTGCGCAATAGGATATTGGGTTCACGTGCCAGGATACAAACTTGTGTCGCCACCTCCGCGTCGTCATGCAGCCTGTGATGCATGTTCGAAGGTGTACAGTTGCCTTATAAAATCGTAATGACGAATTTGACTGCGGTCTTTGCGCTTGCAGGAACATACACCCTGATACAAAAAGGCATCACCTCAACGCTCAGCTCAGTCACTTCCAGTGTCCAGGTACTGTCATATCTAAGGAGAAAAACCAGTCGGATAGAAATTAAAACCAAGAAAATGCGTTTGCCGGAAGGTGCTGTGTGTGGCGGGCGGTCGCGCCATCGTCATGATTTGAATGTGAGGCCATCTAACGAGGGAAGTACTTTCAATGGCCTTGGCCTTTTGATATGAGATGCATATCTTTTGAAGCAGCTTCAAACGCTAATTTTAAATCTGCTTTCCGTTTCTGCTGAGCGCCATTCTGAAGAGAGTTATGGAAACTTGAAAATCCTATTTTGAGGACGCTCTTTGGGCTTTGGAGCGGTGCTATGTGCGTTCGGTGGTGCAGTGGTGTAAGTGTTAGTTGTTGGCACTGAAGGCGAAAGGTCGTTGGTTCGAATCCGGTGCAGAGCGAACCGCTTTGCACTTCAAATGTGAGTTCAAAAATCACTCTAATTCGTCTGCAATCACTTCTAATACCCTTGCAAAGTGATCTAAGGGAGAAATTTTCTGGCATAACTGCTTGTAACGAGGCCCTGAAACTCCACCTGACTTCGTTGCCAGTAAAACAGGAATGATATGCTGGTGAAGCATGTTCACAATCGAGAAGATGTTCTCTTCTGCCTTCAGTTCAATGGGTATTGGTGAGCATGAGAATTGCGCGGAGTTTTTCTTTATACGCTGTTCCCGTTGTGAGAAATGTCTGTGTTTTGCCCACTTTGTAATTTCGCTTTACGTCTGTACATATTTTTTTGCGAAGAAAACCAAATCTCAACAAGCAATTTTGCCAGAAAAATTCCTTAGGTTACATTTGCTAAGGTTATTACAGTAAGTGACTGCAGACAAATTAGAGTGGTATTTGAACTCACATTAAACGCAAAATGGTTCTCTCTGCACCGGATTCGAACCACCGACTTTTCGCTTTCAATGCCAACAATTAACCATTACACCGCTGCACCACTGACGCACATAGCACTGCTCTTAAACTCAAAGAGCACCCTAAAAGTAGAATTTTCAGACTTCCACAACTCTCTTCAAAGGGCGCTCCGCAGAAACGGAAAGCAGATTTGAAATCAGCTTTCGAAGCTGCTTCAGACGATATGCATCTCATATCGAAAGGCCACGGCCATTGATAGTATTTCCCTTATGAGTGTTTTTGACGCGTGCACACACTCAGATAATCTCCGGGGGCAGGCGGTCCGCAAACTCGCGCTTTTCTGCAGGCGGTCAGCAGAATTTTGGGGCGTGGCCAAACCTTCAGCGGGCGGCACTTCCTTTACGGTCGCATAATCTGCAGCGGGCAGCAATACAGCATTTTCTGCAAGCGCTCGGCAAATAATTTCTTTCAGCGAGCGCTGGCCAAACTTTCAGCAAGCGCTCGGACTCTTTTTAAGCAGTTTTGAGCATACGCCGCACAGATAAGACTCTGTGTGGCGAGGTGTCACCGTTGGTTTAATTACTCAAGTTTGAGGTACTTTCTCTCAGCGGAAAGTACCTGGGGGCTGCGCGGTCCTCCACAAAGGACCGTGCGGCCCTCGAAAATTCTGCATATTCTCGCGGAAAGTCCGCGAGAGTGCGGCCACTGCGCCGCAGCTAATCTATAAGGAAACCGCGAATGTTCTCCAAGCGTTCGTCTAGAATGTCGCTAAAATTCATCCAAATATCTGCAAGCGGGCCGCAACAAATCAGCGAACTATTTTTCCGGTGCCCGCCCGCCCATAAATCGCATGGCCGCCTGCCCCCGGCGATTATCTGAGCAGGGGGGCGTCCTGTTTAACCAACCATACGTGTCTCCACATGTTTCGGCAGGTGATGAGGTAGATAACACATGATGCTATGCAGTCGCCATTCTTGCTCAATGGACATACAACGTATTATGTTATCGTTGACATCAGTACCACCTCAATAGTGACCCGTCCCCCCCCCCCCCCTCTACCCCCTCCCTCCGACCTGGCCCCGCAATACGACCCCTTAGGTGTGGCGTGCCATGGCGGCGACGGGATTGTATCATAGTAGAACGCCACGCCACCTAAAAAGTTCAAAATTGTTCTTCATTACTGCAAAGTTACGATAAAAACTTCCGGCAAACCCCTCACTTCCGGATCAGTTTTGGAGGATTTTGCAACAGCTGAAAAAACTTTATGTTAACAAAGGAGTGATCAGAACTTGGTTCGCCCGACCAAACAAGCTCACCACCGTAGCTTCATTACACTTGTCTTGGAATGCAGATCTTAATTAACGTAGTTAAATCTGCTAAGCGTCTACCTGAGAATGGGTATGAGTCTTTGAAAGGGTGAATGGTGAAGTAATTGGAACGCATAACTCACTGGAAACGTTTCAAAGATACTTTTTTAAGTTTTAGTAATTGCGCTTTTCTCTGGCAAATAGAATACGTCTAATCTGTAATTACGCAGTCAGACTGCCTTTTGACAAACTTTGTTTAATAAGACTTTGATAAGTCCTCATATCCATATTCTCGTAACTCCATCCAAATAGTCGCTTAGCAGGCAATGTGCAAATATTCATCTGAGAACGTTGCACGAGTGATAGGTTTACAGGTTGTTTGGATTGACGGGACCAAATTCTGATCCCGCTCCACATTGTAGAATCGCTGATTTCTGACTCTTTGAAGTGCAAAAGCAGCGATTTACATGGGGTGAACAAGTTTCCTTGATTCTAGGGAAGACTTGACACGCGTACCTGGCGTTTAATTACAATGTAACATTGCTAACTTTCTCCGCAACATGGTCATCAATGAAAGACCTGAAGTGTTGTTTTTACGTTTCTGCGTTACGCCGTTTCAGAGAAAGTGATCCAATTCTATAAACGCTTTGAGCTACCGAATGCTTCTTCCATTTTGTACATCTAATTTATTTATCGTACCTATAGCACAGCATTGCATTGACAGCTCTCTAATGTTTCAAACGAGCGCAGTATAAGTCAATACTCTGAGAACTTTTGCCATTTTGTGAACTACAGCGGCTCAACACTGTATATAAACCTGTCCAAATCTTAGGATTACTACATCTCAGCAACCGGGAGTATCAGCTACTATACGCTGTGCTTGTTTGGAACACTGTTAAGTAAATAGCTGACAACTCTGCTACGACCCACGATAGATAAGTCAAATGTACAAAGTAAGGCATCAGATGCTCAAAGCATTCAATCAAAAAATGCTAAGGCTCTTTAAGACCGGAGAACTCAATTTACTACAACACTGTTAAAGGGTTTACGATAAAGCGCGATGTTCACATTTGAAATCAGCCACAAACAAAAGATAGCCCAAAGCGTTTGACTGAAAGAAACTTAGCTTCAAACTTTGCAGCTATTTCTGAGTGTAACTAAGTTTTGGCTGTCATGGGCAAAATATTTCTGAATGTTATTGGTTTCAACAGTAATGATTTTTGTTGAATCTAGTGAAGCTCTAAACAAGTGACCGAAACATCATAAACAGAAGTTTCGAACAGTCCTTACAAAAACATAGTCCTTTGTCTTCAACAGCTTCCACTACTCTAAACAATATGATTTAGAACGGCTACGAATCCGATCTCCCCTGCTTTGCAAACGATGCACAGCAAAGATCAAAGGTCCTGCGGGCGATAATGTCTGCCCAAATGGCTACAGATGTTTTGCGCCAGCTATCATTACGAAACAACATTCCAACGGTTGTAAACACCTTACAGTCGACTGTGGTGGATCTGATCTACTGTAAGTCAAAAGCGGTAACTTTCGACCCTTACCTTTGCGAGAAGCTCGGTTAAGGATTCAACTCACATCTGGTCAAAGTATGTTAGCGCACTCGGAGGACGTTACCTGTGACGGAGAATGGAGCATAAAAGTTGGGCATTACACACATCGAATTGATGTCATGCTGTGTTTGAGTAAAATTGAATAAAATTTGATTTTGAAAGACTTGATCATTACGATTATGCTATCAAGCTATTTCACCTCATAAATGTCCTGATAAATCTCCGTCATCTTAAGTGGCTGAGTTAGGCCTAAACGTTACGGGGCTCAGTCCAACATCCAGCGAACCATCAGTCTGGATGCTAATCATTTGCAGAGAAAGGAGTGCAATGAAAAACAGCATTACCGTTCGTGTAGATGTTTTCAAATGGAATGACTGCGATGCAATCGGAACGGTCGTGGTTCGAGAGCGGCTATCGGTAACATCTTTGCTGCATCACAACTCAGTCTGACAGCTGCTTCCATCGAAAAATTAGTGATGATCGTAGGAAACCGACAAACGAAACAAAATCATATTTTGACGTGAATCTCCATAAAAATCAAACTCTTTAAAAACAGAATTAGAATGGGGAATTACTGGATTCTTATATTAGGAAGGTTCCTCTTTACTTCTGGCTGCAATCAACTGTTGATCAATCCTCCATTCGTAGGCCTCCGAAATTATACATGAGGGGAAACCTTACCTTGAGAGTGAATCCTATACTCAAGGCTGAACATTGCCCCAGAGAGCTTCATAGGCTACTTTTCGCTATCGATCAATATCGATTTTATCGATTTTTGCAAAGTTTGAGCTACGGGGCTGGGAGTTGGCACAGTGTGACAATCGGGCATGCTGATTACGAAAGTAGGACTTGTTTTCGGAATTATCCGTTAGTTTTGTCGATTTTATCGATTTTTTGCAAAGTCCTAGCTACGGGGCTCAATATTGGCACAGGGAGGCAAGTGAGAATGCTGATTACTAAGCCAGCGATGTAACAGGCATGTAGTTGTGGGCACAAAGAAAAGCTGTTCAGGTAGGGATGGGACCTTTGCCATAGTGTTTTGATAGGGACAGGCGAGCCTGGTACGCATACCCTCGATACATAGTACTCTGCTAACCTTCACTTTGAGGGCTATGAGGGGATACAACCTTCACCTAGAAAAAACAGAAGTCATCAGAGGCAAAGCCCTGGATGTTATTATCCTGATTACATCGAAACGAATGCTAATGAAGCAAATTTAGGGAATGATCTCTTTAGGTTATCTCAACGAAACCGAGAATTTGCATTTTCATAGCCTTATTCAAGCTGAAAAGAAGGTTTCTGTAAAATTTTCGCCAAAATTCAGAACGAGATTTCTCAGTTAACCTCTTATTTGACCAAAAGAGTTTCAGAAGTTTAGGAAAGCTGTTGGAGTTAAATAAAAACGAGAAACTGCGCTTAAATCTTGCGCAGAGAGTCGCGCACGAAAACGCTGGTCTATCTCGTTAATGAGTGATTTTTGAAGCTTGGGACGTTGTTATTTCTCCTCGTCATGTCACGATCAGAACGTTATTAATGTTACAGGGTTTCGTTGAGGCTCCGCGGAGATCTACGACCAGAGCCAAATGCTCCGTCGGCTCTGGTCTGTCTCCGCTGCTGTCTGCTTCTCCTCGCGCTGCGCGCTACCTCGCTACCCCAAACGCGAGGCGCGGGGCATTTGGCTCTGGTACGCTTTTCTTCGCTGTTTCTAACCCAGTTTTAGCAAGCTATATATCATTTCAAAGCTCTTGTTCTCTATTTTCACGTTGACAACGTCCCAAAACCACATTTTTTGATTTGATAGAGAAATCCGGCAAAAACCTTGTTTTCAAAAATCTCTTGTTTTTTCCTAGTTTGACTCTTTTCACGCTTTTTCGTGCATTCTATAGATCTTGCTTCTGTTCATAAAGCTAACAACCACCCAGCCCTTATCTCTTCGACTATTGTGGAATTTTTTGCAAAAAATTGTAAAAAGTGCGGTTTTCTTTAACTTGTTCTGTTTCAGTGCTTTCGCAGCGATTTTTTCTTGCTTGGACGATTGTTGCTCAGAACAATAAGCGCAACAATCCAGACAACGTCCCAGAGAACAGGACCGTCAATGAGAGCGTAATTTGAAGGACGCATCGAAAATCAAACTTGGCTTCCACGTTTTTTTCGACCTAGTAAAAAAGAAACTTTGCGTTTTCATAATTAGTTTCTTTCATGTTTATCTTCTGCTTGATAACCACTCCTTCCGAAACATGTTTTTTTTTGAAACAATCACAAAAAAGAAATTGGCTCTTTTTCGCTTCCCCCGCGTTGCGAATTGCTGGTCCCGGAGCGAAAACTTGCATGTTGAAAAGCCGCCGAATGAAAGATTTTAAACCTCACTGCAGCGTTTTTATCCCGTTTTCCAACAGTTTCTTTGCGTTTTATATCTGTTTTACTCATTCTCTCTTCTCTGGTCTTCTTTAAACAACCTTCACTTTTTATAAGGTTAGATGTTTCAACCTTTTGATGCTCTGTCTTTAGACTATCGAAGGTACGCTGGTAAGCCAGCTAGTGTTACTATCAGGTTGGAAACTAAGTTTTGCATCTACTTCCATAACTTTCTTCTTTTCAAACATGGTGCACTCAAATTTTGGCAATATGTGGACTATAAGTAAGTTACAAAAGCTACTCTTTTGCCAAATTCTGACGTCTCAGGGTTACGGTAGGTACATGGTACAGGAAGAGAAATTATAAATTACAGGGCTTATCAAACGGAGTGTCGCTTGCATCAGCATGTCCACTCCCGCGCTGGACTCTGCATCTCTCCCGTGAACATGCTCTCTATTCACTTTCCCAGGACGAGCGTGGGAAAGGCGAAGCCTCAATCGATTGGAAGTAATTAGGAAGCATGTTCGCAGAAGAGACGCAAAGTCCAGCGCGGAAGTGGAGATGCTGATGTAAGCGACACTGCATTTGATAAGCCCTGTATAGTTAATTTACGAATTTGACTAAAACTTGTCATATTGGGGTCATTTGACATGCTGATCACGAAAACCACACTAAAATTGCATGGTAAGGGCTTTTTTGTAAGATCATTGTAAGTTTACAGTTTATGATCTCACCTTAATCAAGAAAAATGGCGTTGATCAGCAAATAACTATGATATTCGTGTTAGTGAAGTCAAATAACCCCACTAGGCTCGGCGAATTTGAAATTTTGAATTTCTTGGTCATTGATGGTTGCCCAGCAGTTTTGTATACTGTGGCCTGTCTAACTTTGTTAGAGCTCAAATCTCCAGTTATGTTCAAAATTCATTTCCTTTTTTGTTGAGTTAATTGATTTGACCTTTAGCAATAATTTAAACATAATTTCGGATTAGTTAGCATGGTCTGGGTTGCCAACGGCCTCATTTTGACTTAAAACCCCGAAAATTCCTGGAACTCATTATTTTTCGAAAAACGCCTCTATTTTTCTTATTCGGAACGTATCAATTCCACATATTGCCAAAGTTTAAATGCGCAATGTCCAGAGAGAGTAAAGTTATGAAGAGAGTTGCAAAACTTAGTTTCCGCGAACCTTTCGCAGTACAGCGCACATTGAACTATACTCATATCTCATATGAGCAGAAAAATATGGATTGAAAAACAAAAAGAGTTTTTTTCTAAAGCCTTGTTTTTGACAGAACATAACTCCTTTCACACTTTGTTCTTATGATTTGTAAGCAGCCTATCTTGTAGCCGCAAGCCAGTAGTACAAATATACGTGAAAACGGCTTGGAGAAAAAAGATTAGCGAAGAGGGAAAAATCGAAATTCAAAAATATCAACTTTTTTAGCATTTTTTCAGTAGGCCTCAAAATACCGAAGTAGAGAATTTTTTAATTTTCTGCGTACTGAAAAGCTGGATGTTTTTGCAAAAACCGCTGATGGGACTCCTACACTCACGCTTACAGAGATGAGCAAAGTTTGAGCGACTGCATTTTACAAAAGAAAGTTATGGGCTCTAAAATGACCACAACCATTACCCATGCTAAGCCATCGATATCTTACTTTAGATAACTTGAAAAAATATGGTTGAAACGCATAATGTAGACAATTTCCATTACATATAGCGGCTAAATTCTCGATAAACAATCTTCATTCGCGCTCAAATTCTGGCCAAAAAAATGAATGCAACGAAAATCTAATTTAGAGTGCGATTGAAGCTCTATAAATTCTTAACAGAGTGGGCTAGAAGCCCCTTCGAACATCGTCAGATAGAGCATGAAAAAAGCTTTCTAACAATGTGCTGACACCCTTAAAAAGAAAGACGTTTGATGGAGAAAAGTTGTCCTGAAAAAAGTCTCAAGAAAACGCTCATTATTTTTGCACCAACCTAATATAATACTATGTCAAACTTCCTATGGACTTTTTTCGGAGGTTTTGTTTGATGTTAGCATTCAGTTAATATTCGAGCAGTTATAGTAAGAGAACTGATTTGAATAAAGTACATGGTCAAAGAAAGACTTTGATATGGCGAACATCAAGCTCAACAACTCGAAAAATTTCCGTTATATGGAACTCCCTCATTCAAAATTTGATGCACAATATACTCGTTCATGATACTATCATCATACTTCAAATGATTTGATATATGATTACGCTATCAAAGCTTAACTAGATACAATTGAAGTCGACCAACAAAATACTAAAAAAATTATCTAGTTTTTGTAATATGATTGGAAGAGACGAAAAAAGTATCTGGAATCTGAGATAATAATAATTAGAAATATTTTGTTTTATTTTATTTCGTGCAGATAAGTACGCTACAACAAGCAAATGAAATTTAGAGCGTCTAAATTAACGGACTCAAACGAGGGTTAGTGACATCACCGAAAATGAGACACTGGGCCTGCCATTCGATATATGATCTTTCTGAAAAAAAAAACAGCTGGATCTGAAGCAAAGGTACCTCCGTAACTGAACATGGATGATAGTTGCATACCAGTAGGCCAAGTGTGCGTTGGGATGCCTTAAACCAGATGACGTGCCTGGAGCCTTCGGAATCAAGGCAGATACAGTATACCCGACAGCTATGCCAATAGACTCCCTGTCGAACCACGCTCAGCAGTAGAGGTCATGGGCTAGAAACTAAAAATGAGGTACCTACACTACAGTAGCAGCTGAATAATGGTCTACAAACTGAAAACAAAGAATAACCAAAAGAAACATCTCATTATAGGTAGGCAGATACTGTGTCCTAAACCCGATATAGCTATATATATAAAACTCAAACACTGTACCTTTCTTTGTCAGCATATTTGTGTCTTATAGACTTCTTTGTAAATGAAACAAAGAGGCTGAAGTTTGTTCCCCTATAAATGAGACACGGCACAAAAGATAGGCTGCTTTTCGCAACTTTTCGCTAAGTTCTTCTATCGATTTATTGATTTGCTTACTAACATCTAGGAAAATGAAAGCATATCATTCATTTCTCCAAGTTAAGTAGTAAGGGCTGTTAGTGATCATTTACATTTCGCGGTGAGTAGGATGCGATGTCGCGAAGCGAGGCGGTCAAGAAGGAAGGCAAATTCGCCAAGGATACCACAGGAGCGCTGCAACTGACTTGGCGCTGAAGCAGGAGAAGAAGAGGAGATATGAATTGAAGGAAATGGAGGAATGGTAAGCAACAAGACACTTCGGATCAGACCCTTGCCGAGCGTTTTGGACGCTCGGTCGCGGGCGACCGGGGACCGCAGCTAGTCTCGCATAAAACTAATCACGAGACATCCTTTAATTACAACATTTGCAGAAAGTCATTTTTGAGCGGCAACTTTTTGAGTTTGGTTGAATCGTTTTGGCAAAAAGTCTTGGCAGGAGCGCGTGTGGATTAGGAAATGAGCGTTTTAAGAGTTAAAAATTGCTAAACTCTTGTTTGAAATAAACTCGATAGTTACAGCCTTTGAAGCTCGCTTTTAGAATGATGGTACGAAGTGCTAGCGGGAAATTTCCTCTCAGCTGAGTGGTTTGACCGTCATCCGTTCAAGCTCACGAGATATTTCCATAAATTTTCTTCTGACTATAACGAAAAACATCTGGGTTACATACCTTCGATACATAGAGCCATGTACTTTGGTAACCTTTACTTTGAGCTATAGGAGAAGAGAACTCTCAAAAGAAAAAAGTCGTTCGGGCCACGCCCGTATGTTAAGGTCATAATTGCATCGGAATGAATGTGAATAAACTATTAGGTTGTCAAGAAAATAATGTCGTTTTTTATTTGCTTGCTTAAACAAAGCAACCAGACTCAACCCAATAAAGAGTAATGGGTATTGTTCGATAGAGCAAAGCAAGTTCTACAAGACGGCGTACATGATTTTGCGCCAAGTTCAATCCACGGATAGTTCGAACTCAAAATCTGAAGATTTCCAAATGCCCAAGAAATCGAAAAAAATCAGATCTTCGTCCAAATAATTTCTACGGATCTCCCACTCGCACACTTCAATACTTTCGATATCTGATATCCATATGTGCAGCTGCTGTACTTCTTCCTTGACTAAAAACTGAGAAAACGAAAATTTGCGTGTTTTTCTAAAAGCAATGCTGAGCCGTTCTTGCATATTTGATTCTATACTACAAGCTTAGGTAAGTATAACTATAGATTTTCAGCCTATTCCGAGCGGTAGTTTTCAAGAAATGTCGCTTTTAGCACTAAAACTGAAAAGAAGAAAGCTGATTTCGATATATCTCGAAAACTACTGCTCGGAATGGGCTGAAAATCTATGGATATACTTACCTAAGCTTGTAGTATAGAATCACATATGCAAGAACGGCTCAGCATTGCTTTTAGAAGAACACGAAAATTTTCGTTTTCTCAGTTTCTAGTCAAGAAAAAGTACGACAAAGTACAGCAGCTGCACATATGGATATCAGATATCGAAAGTATTGAAGTGTGCGAGTGGGAGATCCGTAGAAATTATTTGGACGAAGATCTGATTTTTTTCGATTTTTTGGGCATTTGGAAATCTTCAGATTTTGAGTTCGAACTATCCGTGGATCGAGCTTGGCGCAAAATCATGAACGCAATCTTGTAAAGCTTGCTTTGCTCTATCGAACAATACCCATTACCCTTTATTGGGTCGAGTCTGGTTGCTTTGTTTGAGCAAGCAAATAAAAAACGACATTATTTTCTTGACAACCTAATAGATAGTGATTGATATCTCAACAAATTCCAAACAGAAAAAATTGCGTTTTGGTAGCCTTTCTTGTGCTAAAAACGAGGTACTTATATGAAAGTTGTCAAAAGAAACAAGTGGGGTCTGGCACAACATCTGAAAAGCTGCGGCAGTCACAGCTTATCTGGGGTTGTGCTACATCCCATTAACTTACCTACAAAGAGAAGTTTGGGTAACAATTTATATACAGTTTGATAGCCAGATTTTCGTAGCTTTTGAAGAAATGGTTTCAGCTGAATTCGTCTTCTTTCCTTTGAGCAATAGTTGCTGGAAGCCAACCGCTGTTAGCGGAAAATGGGACAAAGAAATGGCTGGCTGGCTCCTAATTCCATAGTTTGATAGTTATTTGAAGCAGGATTTATGATATAGGCGTACATAGAGTAGTGCTTTGTATTAAGTACATATAACGGTAGCTAAATACAAAACATTGCGTTTTTAGCTAATCCTTTTCTTGTCTATCTTTTTCTTAATATCACGTTGTAACGATCACAAAAAAGAAATAAGCTTTTTCTCGTTTTCCTCCGTGTTGTGGACCGCCTAGTTTTGGAGCGGAAACGTGTAACTACAAAAGCCGTCAAATGAAAGATTTCAATCTTACTTCTTATTATCTTATTCTTGTTATTCTTACTTTTTGTGGGGAGCAATGTTCAAACAACCTTCACTTTGAGTTTTAGGCTATCGAAGGTATGATCTAGGCCAATAGATTAATAGATCCAATAATAAATACAGTGTTTTAGGGTGCCGACTATTACCAACGGCATTTGCTATGAAGCAAATTGCTGCATACCGGCAGTTTGCGCATGCAGAATGGCAATGGTTCTACAGTCTACTGAATTTTCCGCTTAATATGGTGTGCTCGCACTGCAGGTAAAATGCGGTATTTACGGGTGGACAGATAGCTACGCCTGTGACGCAGGCCAATTGCGCGCGCAAAATGCCGGCATCGTTGGCGTGGCTCTTTGTTCAGCGCGCAGATTTTGGAGTGATTTACCTGCAGTGTAAGCACACTATAAGAGCAAAAAACCTTCCCGATTGTACGTTTAGAGCCCCTGACAATTCTTTATGCGCAACTTCAAACGTCAGCAAATGTTGCATTGCAAGAAACTAAATTCACCATGAGATCTATCAGCCTATGCACACAAAGAATTGAATCGCATCCTATTTTAATCGTCTGCGGCTTACCATATTATAAGCAAACATAACATTGAAAGCGTATGCAGATGGCTGATTTGAATTACACTTTGAATATTCGTGGTCAAACGCATAAATAATTCAATAGAACATAACTGTAGCCTAGAGTAGCTAGGTTTGCTGTGGCTCAGATAGCTTGGGCCTCCACTGTTGTAGAGTTTACCTTTAACTCAAAAGTAAAGATATCGAGTTTACTCCGCGATTTTGTCAAACAGTTATTAGCTTTATTTCGCACAAATCAGTTTCCAAAAGTCTTTGCAGATGCCAGCCCATAGCCTATAGTAGTGCGGAATTTGCGTTTTTCAACTGTGTTATTTCTTAGGTGCGCCAATGTCTGATTGTCATTCAGCGAGGTGTCGCAGCAGCCAACTGCGTATACCGTCACAATTTTCGACAGAAAATGAGACAGAGAATACATGTGACGGTTGTGATTTCTTCTAAAATTTTCTATTCGTACATTATTGTATCCCTGATTTATAAACCTATGCATGAAATTCCTGGTTTCAATGTTTTCCTTGAGTATTTCTTCGGCGGCGATAGAATTCAATTTCATGTGCATAATTAAGCAGCATTCTTGACGAAAAGTGTGCCCCAGAATAAGTGCATATGACATTGCTTCTTCAATAACACAGGTAATCACCGTTGAGACGCACGCGCTGTGGACAAATGTTTCTGGAAATCCTAGTATGTACTTTCGTTTGCACTTCTGACACCATGGTTCCTTCACCCACTAGCTCTCCTGGTAACTATAATAACGCAATATTATGCAATATTATAAGCATCCTGGCATTTGAATTTAGGTTGCAAGAAGCTCTATGACACGAGCTTGTGTTCTGCAGAAACTGAAGACTGCAATAAAGATCAGGTAAGAAGATGGTTTGGATATCATTGATACGTCGCACTGCCATTCTCATACATATTGTGCTAGTTCAATTTTTGTGGAGTCTACAACCGCCCCCCCCCCGGTTCTTTTCATACAATAATCGTACCCAAATGACGGTCAAAGATATGCGCAACATCTGCTACTATAGCGACCCAGAAACCAGCGCATTTTCTTTATATTCATTGAGAATTAATGATTGTTGGAGAGAAAAGAAGTAAAGGATGCAGGGAGAATTGGTCATGCAAATTTTAGAGCCTCTAATCTGCAACTGTTTGAAAAAAGCAATATCATAAATCGGAAAAGCTGTTTTACAAGTTTTGATAACTGTTGTAAATAGCTTTCATGTGGTCCAACTTGACAGAGTTGATACTCTATAACCACTCATTCTGAGCAAGAAAATTCAAACTGACATTTTATCTAGATGCAGGACTTGCTTTTGCCCTCTTCATTTACTGTGGCTTTTCTAGGGCTTTTTCAAATGATAACCTAGAAAATGGCAATGCACTCATAGCAATTATGGAAAAAGGCTGTAAACTTTTCTTTCACTGACACTTTATGGCAAATCTGACGAACTATCCTTACTTTCTTCATATGTACTTCGTAGGCTTCTGCACTTATGTTCGAGACTTGTGCAAAAATCACAAATCTAACGTCGTCCGTTATCGGTCTTTCAAACATCTTCGAATTCAAAAATTGCACGGATCAAAATCTTTGTAAAAAATCAGCGCTTCACCGCTTTTTCGATATTTTATTGAAAAGTGAAAGTTCGACAGTCAGCATACAGTTTAATATCAAACAGTGAGAACTTAAGAGACGGCAAAACAAGTAGTTGCAGCAAGGAACCATCAAATTTAATATGAAGCAGTGGTCAACGGCCACTTTTGCGAAGAAAAGTAAGGAAAACGATAAAAGAAAATAATTCAAAAAAACATTTAGTGTTGTTATAATATTGTTATTAATATTGTTAACTCATTTTTGAAGAAAACTAGAAAATTTTGTGGTGTACGAGCTTTCGAATGATATAGCAGTCATGGAGCGCAAAGTGTGATACTATGGTGTGGTGAAGTGGTACTGTCGAACAGCGGGTGAATCCATATGAGCAATCGAGTACTAACGAGCGGGTTTTTGCGTTTCTCTCAATCACTTTCTCCTGCTTCATGTATGACCAGTGCGTCACAACTTCGCAGAGGCTCGCATAGTTCTGCTATGCAAATGCTTTACTCATTTTCGCATAGTAATGACATTGAAGCTCACGCGCAATGCTGACTAACACGATGAATTGTAAATAACTACTCATCATAAAAGCTTTTTCTGTGAGATCGGTAGTTTCGAGCAGATGTACTTTTCGCAAAAGAAAAAAATGCAAATTTGACTTTTAGAGCTACCTATGGCTTGATGATTGTTATAGGAATAGTAACCACCTTGAGCAACATTTCTGTGCAAAAATCTATTCAAATGCTCAGGTAAAATCTTGAATTGTCCGTTTAGCAAGGAATATTTCTGGCATTGTGTCCTCAAAGTGATAGACATTTGATTTCTATTTAGGTCATTATTGCTTGCTCCACACACACACACACACATTATTGCTTGCTCCACACACACACACACACACACACACACACACACACACACACACACACACACACACACACACACACACACACACACACACACACACACACACACACACACACACACACACACACACACACACACACACACACACACACACACACACACACACACACACACACACACACACACACACACACACACACACACACACACACACACACACACACACACACACACACACACACACACACACACACACACACACACACACACACACACACACACACACACACACACACACACACACACACACACACACACACACACACACACACACACACACACACACACACACACACACACACACACACACACACACACACACACACACACACACACACACACACACACACACACACACACACACACACACACACACACACACACACACACACACACACACACACACACACACACACACACACACACACACACACACACACACACACACACACACACACACACACACACACACACACACACACACACACACACACACACACACACACACACACACACACACACACACACACACACACACACACACACACACACACACACACACACACACACACACACACACACACACACACACACACACACACACACACACACACACACACACACACACACACACACACACACACACACACACACACACACACACACACACACACACACACACACACACACACACACACACGTGTTCACAACTTCGTCAATAAAAGCGTCACGGATACGGAAGACGGAATTAGACTCAGCTTTCTAGTCTGCATCCACTGGCAACTTGTTGTGAATCACCATTTCGACTTCTGACTATTCCCTTGTAAGGAAGCAGCGGCTTCCTGCAAAAGACAATGCATTATAGTCGTTTCAAATCCTTTACCTATTCTTATAACCCGCATTAAGGACGTAAGAATAAACTATAGTGGCGAAACTGCTACACTCAACTGTCCTGACAACTACCGACTTAAGATCAGATATGGTGACGGAAAAATCCAAGGAGACGGTGAGTTTTATCTTAGCCTTTTCTCGGATTTCATTGCTATCTGGTGGAGAATCTCAGATTTGTTTTAGATGATAAGAAACTTTAATTAACTTGTAAAAAATGTTAAAAGATATATCGAAAGGCAAACTAGTTTGTATTCACTTGAAGGATAGGCTCAATTTTTTGTTTATTTTTTCGAATTTTTATTTAGATTTCTGACCTAGACGGTCAGCCTGTATGATAAGAACAGGAACATGTTTCTTTCCCATTTGATAAAAATGTTACTTGTCACAAACGCTTTTTGTAATTCTCAAATAATTTTTCCTACTTTCGCGGCTGAACAATGCAATTTTCACTAATCTTGTTTGTTCAAAAAGACCGAAAATTGTTTGGTTTTCCAAGATTGTTTGAAATCTATGTTAGACTGTAAGCACATCTGTTTCATATAATCAGAAAATACCATCTATCAAGAGCTACGTTACATAGTTTTCATACAAAATTGATCTGGGTGCGCATGTCAAGCTAACGTTTCGCAATGCTTTTCACCTCTTCGCTGAGAGTTGCTGCCTATTCTTCGAGGTCATTAAGGCTGGGTTCATACTGATTCCCATGTTCTGGAACTGTTCCCGCACAGTTCTCGCACTGTGCTGGAACTGTGCGGGAACTGTGCGGGAACAGTTCCAGAACATGGGAATCAGTATGAACCCAGCCTAAGAGAAACCTATGGTTCATGTCACGTGCATGTTCAGCTAAACTTTGGTTTTCACTCAAATTTGCAAACAGATTTAATAACAATTGAGTAGAAATACTTTGCAATCAATGCCTTTTTGGACCTTCTCCAACTGGGTGTCACTGGTTTAATATTCGTTTTTTCCTTGATGTCACCAAATCTCATAGTCCATCAATTCAAATCATATAGTACATAAACTGGTAAGCATCATGTATCATTCATTATACTTTTATTGCTCTTCTGGTGTATTTTTTTCAATTTGTGGATGCTTTACAAGTGTAATTATCATTCTTTTAATTTCATAAGCGAGCGTGGGTCAACCCAATTCCTATTGCGAAAAGGTGATCGTTTGTTCTCCTTGAATGTCTTTAATAATGATCGCGTTCAAGATCATCAAATTGCGAAAATTCTCTGGTTTTCGATACGGTTGTATCATGGAATTAGAAAAATTGGATCCGATCTTATGAAGCCCGAAGGAAAAGCGAAAAAAATTGCATTGCAAAATGCTTACGGCTTGAATAATCTCATTGCAAAAGCTCAAAATAGAGTTCATAATTTAGCTATACAACAATAAAAAATGAATTCCGAAGCATTGGCGGCTGCCTGGGTGACTATGAAGAAAACCAATTCACATAACGACTAAAACAACGAAGTAAAGTTTTCTCAAATGGCTTAAATAGTTTCTTCTATACTTCTCATGGTTTTCCTCGGGTAAAAAACGTCACGAACCTTGAAAACGACCTGGTGCTACCTATTGTGTAATTCAAAAAGATTTTTTATCTAGGTCTGTTGCAAAAGTTGTGGAAAGATTTCCACGACTAGCGACCCTAAGGGCCGCTTGCAAGTGGGTTGGAGCAATACAATTTAGCCGTATGATTGTCAACATAATTACACCTACCTTTTATACCTTTCAGCTGTGGGCAACACGAAACTGATTAATCAATGACTTTTGACTCTCCTCTAAATATAAGAATCCTCATTGTTGATAGTCGATATCTTTTGAGTCCCTTCTAAAAATATATATTTTGAGCCCCTTCTAAAAATTTTCTTTGGGCCAAATTTTTCTACCAACCTTCACTGAGAGTCACCAAGCAGTCAATACCAGAACAACGATGTAGTCTACAATAACTCAGCTAAACATACTTTAGTTCCCGAAAAATCTCGGCAGCGAAAACAGCATTGTTCTCATGCCCTACTTGTCGCTTACAGGCCATTTTTTCAAAATAAACCCTGCTCCGCGTACCGCCTACAGAGCGACATACGCGTAAGAGCTGCCCTACGATTGTCCAGAACGGTATTTCACGAGAAAAAGCTTTTTTACGGGCCTTCTACAGAGTTGTAACCTGAGAAAGTATTGTCCTCTGAACAACTATAAATGATATTATATTCTGGGATAAATCTGCCACGCCCCCTACACATTAATATTGCGAGAAAGCCGTATGGGCTGCTTACAGACGAAAGAAACTGCACGCGAACGGTGATCAGTCATTAGAAGGAAATGCCCTATGGGCCGCTTACAGATCCTTACTTTGAGGAGTAACTGCCCTGTGGGCTGCTTACGGACCGATATTTTTCAAAAAAAAAACTGCACATGAAAAAGAAGCCTATGAGCCGTTTGCGGTCCTTCACTTCGATAAGAGGTAGCCCTATGGGCCGCGCACAGACCGACATTTTAAGAAGGAATTGCTCTTCCAATCTTCAAACCGACCTTCAAAAAAAGGCCCAAAGAGCCGCTTGGACTACTTTTTCAAGAAACAACCGCCCTATCTATACCACAAGCTAATATTTTGAGAACAAGAGAAGCTATGAGGCTGCTTAAGACATATCTTTACGTCCTAACCAATGTATCAAAGAATAACAGCCCTACGCGCCACTGTAGACCAATAATTATAGGAAGAACATGCCCTACGGGCCACTGACAGACCAATGTGTTAAGAAGTTACTCACAATCCCTACAGACCGATGCTTATAAAAAAATATTTGCCCTATAAGAAGCCTATGGACCGGTTCAGAAAGTACACAAACCCCTCCCCTGACCCCCAACAAACCCATACTTGAGAAAAAATGCGCTAAGGCCGCCCTACAGACCGATATTCTGAGAAAAAGGTACCTTAAAACCATTCTCTCCCCCCCCCCTCTCCCCTCCTTCCCCCATAGACCAATAATTATGAGAAGGCGCTACCCTATGGGAATCAGCCCGATATCCTAAAGTATTCTATTACCCTAAAACCCCTACTGTACTGCCGTACGAAGCGCTCACATATGATTTGCTCTATGGAGCCAAAGACCGAAGTTTTGATCGAAAAAATGGAGCTACCACTACTTACAATTAGATACCTACACAACTTTATTTCGAGAAAGTGCCCTTGAAATCCATACAAATCGATATTCTGTGATAAAACTACTTTGCGGGTCTCTTACAGACCAAAAATTCAAAAAAAATGCCGTTTAAGATTCTACAGACCGATATTTGAAGGGAAAAAACTGCCCTATGGGCCTGGAAGGAGCCGCCCCTATGGGGAAGAGGGGATGGGGTGGTTGCAAACTGATATTTGGTGAAAAACTGCCCACGGGGCTCTTGCAGGCCATTATCTTGGTAAGGAACTGCCCTAGGCGCCGCTTCCAGACCGGTATATAAAAAAAACATATGTCGAAAAAAAATTGCCTCAAGAGCCGTTCATAGTTCGATATTTGAGAAAGAACCGCTCTGCGAGTCCTTTATAAACAAGTATTTGTGATTTCCCAGTATCCAAACAAAAAAATAATTATGAACCGCTTACGATATTCACGTTCATGCAATTAACTTCAAAGGGACCCCCTATGCGCCGCATACAGACCGACTATTCTAGGAGATGCTCTGGCCTCTTATAGATCAGCATCTGAGAAATAATTTTGCCGTATGCGAAGCTTATGGAACGATGAATGAATGATTTGTGGAAAAAACTCGCTACGTGAAGCTTACAGATCAATACTATTAACAGAACTGCCTTACGAGCCCCTACAAATCAAGAAAGTGTCCTATGAACAACTACATTCATTGAAAGATCTACCCAATGGACAGCTAATAGACCGGAGTTTAGAAGGAAGATGAGAGTGTGAAGTTGAAGCGTAAACGTTGAGAAACTACTACAGCATGTTTACGCAAGAAACCGAGTTCCCAAGTCATCCATCCGAGTACAAATTTGCGAAAGGGGGGGGGGGATACTGTTAGCAACCTTACGAGAGTGTCGGGGCCTCCCCACACTACAGCCTTTTTGCACTTAGTAGTCGCACCCTTTCGAAAACATTCCCCGAGGAGGGACGATGCTTACCTCTTCGAAAACACGCTAGCCTTGTTGACGAATTTGTACCCTCCGCACCCTCGGCAATCACTCGCCTCATTCCGCAACTTGTCAACATGTAAGTGCAAAACCTTGCCATTCTTTATTATAGAATGATTTATTACGTGTATAAAATCCAAAGTGTTTAATGCAAGTTAAACATCTTTCAAAGCTGCCTTTGCCCGCCAAAACCGAAACTACGTTACCACAAGTCTTCTTCACATCGACTACTGTTTTTAGTGTGTCTCAGCCATGCCGAACGTTAGCTTGAATTTGCGCGCTCGCAGCGCTGAGGTTTCTGCTGCATACGAAATGCCGAAAGAGCGAAAAGTTGAATAGAGAGTGACAAGCTAACAGCACACGTGGCGCAACACTTGTTACACGGACTCCCGCCATGCCAATGGCCTGATTGGTATCGGGACAGATAGTAGTTCAGTCGATACAAACATGTGTAAAATTAGCAGCCCTAACTTTGTTACATTAGAGTCAAACACGTTCTAATGTTGTTTTTTGTCCAGGCATTCATTGGATTAAATTTTTTTTGTGTAAGATTTCGAAAATGTGCAGCGAGAGTTGGTAGTAACAAACTCTGCTCGATTTGTACCAATAAAAGCTTAAGTATTTTGTCGGTGCGAATGCGCGTTTTGCGAGTTGTCAACTAGATTTGCTATAACTTTCCAAAAAAAGTTCAATTTTTGACTGCAGTAAAGACCATCAGAGGCAGCAGACCTTTCTCAATACAGCGCACATCCACCTATGCTTACATCACAAACGGGCACAAAAATACGGATTGATAAGCAAAAAACGTTTTTTTCCAGAAATCTCCTTTTTGACTGATCATAACTCCTTCAAAATTTGTTTTCATAAATGATAAGTACAGTCTGCCCCAATCGGGATCAGGCCGAACCATCGGCTGAATTGGCGCGCTCGCAGCGCTAGGGGATTGCGCTGCATACTCAGACAATGGATCGGACCCCTCCGCTGGGGAAATGGCAGGGTCGCGGCGTTTCCCCAGCGGTGGGTCACCCATTCGTCCGGCGGAGCCCTCCCATTTCTCCGGCGGAGACCTCCCATTTCTGCTCCGGATACCTCCCATTTTCTGCTCCGGATACCTTCCATTTTCTGCTCCGGATACCTCCCATTTTCTGCTCCGGTTACCTCCCATTTCTGCTCCGGAGACCTCCCATTTCTGCTCCGGATACCTCCCATTTTCTGCTCCGGAGACCTCCCATTTCTGCTCCGGATACCTCCCATTTCTGCTCCGGATACCTCCCATTTTCTGCTCCGGATACCTCCCATTTTCTGCTCCGGATACCTCCCATTTCTGCTCCGGAGGCCTCCCATTTCTGCTCCGGACCCCTCCCATTTTCTCCGGCGCGACTCCGCCAGATTTGCCAGGCTCGCGCCGGACAAATTTGTCCGGCGCGAGCCTGGCAAATCTGCCAGGGTCGCGCCGGAGAAATGGCGGACCTTTGCAGCAGGGCCGGAGAAGCCTCCCATTTGCCTGGCAGTGATGTCACGCGAGGGACCGCCCATTTGCCCCGCTCTCATTGGTCAATTGGGTCCGGCGCGAGTCTGGCAGTTTCGGCTTGCCCAGCGGAGGGGTCCGATCCATTGTCTGAGTACGCGCACTGTCGCAGAGAGTGAAGAGATCTAGGAGAGAGCAGACTAGCTAGCCGCAGATGTGGCGCGAAGCCCTCGCAGCGCCGACTCCCGCCATGCCGATTTTGGCCTGGTTAGGATTGGGGCAGACTGTAGCTTGTCTTGTAGCACTAGTAAGTGGTGCAAGAAAGTTGGAAAGGGCTCAAACCAAGAAGATTTGTGAAAAGGAAAAAAATTATGATTCAAAATTGTCCGCTTTTTTCGTCTTTTCTTAGGTCTCAAATTCACAAAATATGAAGATTTTTGATTCTCTGCGTACTGAACCGTTGAACATTTCTGCGAAAACTGTCAACAGGAGGCCCACTCTCATGCTTAACGAGATGAGCAAAGTTCTGGCGATTGCCTTCTTCAAAGGAAGTTTATGGGCCACAGGATGACCAAGACCATTACTCATGTTGAGGCGCCGAAATCTCATTTTAGGCAATTTCTAAGAAAATAGTAAAGCATGCATAATGTAGACAGTTTCCATTACATACAGTAGCTGAATTATCAAAAGAATGCATTTATTCGCGCTCGAATTCCGGCCAGAAAAGTAAGTGTAATAAAGTTCTGGTTTCGAGTGCGGTTGTATGAAGCTCTATTGATTTTTTAAAAAATGAGGCTGGAAGGTCCTTTTAGCCACCTTTGGATAGAGCATAAAAGGACCTTTTTGATGGTGTGCTAAGTTCTTTTCAGTGGAGAAAGTTTGGAGAAAAGTTGTCCTTAATCCAGGGCTATAACGCGCATTACTTTTGCACTAACCTAATAGAAATGTTCTTGCCAACTGCCCCAGAAGACCCCTATTTTGCTAACTTCTGAAGTCGTGCATTTCGCCAAGATATATCTGTTTGAATTCATCTTTGATGATTGGTGAGTAAAACTACGGTGATATCCTTGGCTCCTTTTTGATGTTTTGTTAAGCTGGATATCCACTTCGGCTGGGTGAGATAAAGTAATGCTTTAAAATCAAATTAACTTTAGTTAGAGCATCTTCCTGTTAACATTAGACCTGAATCGGAGATTGGACAACGAGATAACTGCGAACAGTAATAGTCTGAAGCTTCCCGCGTTTAAACTTTTAGGAATTCGGAAGGCTAAACCACTGCCCAGGACGAGGGTGGCAGATGTCAAGCTGGATTGTTTTAGGGGAAAGGGCAAAGGGAGTACCTTAAGCACACACGCTCACATGCACTAAATACCTCTAAACCTCCAGCCCCGTAACGAATAAGCTTATACACGGCGAGGCAGTCGAACATAATCTTATTCAAGGCACACCTGTCGAAAACCATTGTCTAAATGTAAAGCAAATGTCTTTTGAAGCACATTTATAACGATATGGTCCCAAATTCGTACGTAATCGGAGGATTCGGAAACAACTTCGAAAACTTGCGACAATTTATGGTGTTAGTGTTGTTGCAAACTTTTTATTAGAATTTACTACTAGTTATAGGAGAAGTATAGTGGCCATCACCTGTCTAGTCACCTCGCCGCCATGCCTGCAAAAGCACAACATCTTGAATTTTCGGATGAGGCTGGCTGGCCGCGCCAGTCTGTGCTTGCACACAAAGGCGCAAAATGGCTAATTTTGGAACCACGAAATCTTTTTTTCATTTTTTTGATGCTTTTTTGCGTAACTGAATTAACTTGTCGTCTATCTCTCATTGTATCGACAGCGAACAGCGTCACTAATGCCGATTTTGTTGAGTATGAGAGTTTTCAAGCTTTTTTCCAGCAGAAAATGAGAGTCCAACAAAGCTCTATAGAAGAGTATCAATTTCTGCAGTTCTGTTAAATGATAACATGTTTTAATGAACTAATGATTAGTTCACGGTACTTTTAAAGGTAGTGTCCGGGCAAAAACTCGACTTTTAGGGCCGCATGCACTAACATCCCTGCGGCGAGGGGAGCGGCGTCCCCAATGATGAAAAAGCCGCAGCGGCGTCCGCACGCGGTCCCTTCATAACGGGGGACGCCGCTCCCCTCGCCGCAAAAATGTTAGTGCATACGGGCCTTAGAAAACCCACTTAGGGGGGGGGGGTTATCCGCAACGCTGAATCCGAAAATCCACATTAGAGGGCGTGAAAATGGCGAGAAAATATTTTCCAAAGCCGCACAATTTGAAATTCGACGATCCCCACCAAGGCAGAGACGCAGAGTCGCTGCGGGACCCTACATTTTCACTGTGGCGGCATGCGTACTCTACCGCATAGCAGGAATTCGGACAGCTCGGAGGATCCCGCCCCAAGGCCTAAGTTTCCCCACTTTCAGGTCGTTTTCGTTGCTTTAGGTCGATATGACGTCGCACTTGCGCGATATTCTGTCTGAGGGGGGCCACTCTCGCATGGCACTGAAATCCCAAAACCCCCATCTTGCCCGGACACTGCCTTTAAGGGTGAGGTAAGTCGTACTGAAGCGACAGTTGTGAATTAACTCCAGATGATCAAATTACTACATGAATGGTGCACTCAGTCTCGTTTCCTTGCTAAAAGGGTGATGTTAGTGAATTGGTACATCATGTAAGCGCAGCATTCTGGATTATTTAGATTAATAGTCTTTTCCAGAGAAAAGTTTTAATCATTCATTCTGTGATTTGGAGACCCCGCTTTGCACACATTGCTTAGACAGCCTGAACATGATTTTTCCTCTCCAAATAACAATGCAAATCGGCACTAGAAGTAAAAACTTGTAAACGACACGATCATGGTTGTTTTGACAATGTTGCAAAGCAGTTTCGGGTGTATATCAATATGCACAATTTTTATTGCCAGATGAACACCAAATAGCAAATATTCAGTGTTTTACAACATTCTAAAATAATTCAAATTTTAGGAGATATATCAGATAGATTTATGGGTTTCTCAATCTTGCTATCTTGGAATAAATTTGAAACAGCAGTTTTGAAGGTCAAAAACCCACGAAAACGCAGTTAAGATTAAATTCGTGAATATTTCGGTCCATTTTCCAGCAAAAGCCCCCAAGTTCAGCAAATGGTAACCATAGACAGATGGCAAGCTAAGGCGCTTCGTTTGATATTTTTTGCAGACTTGCATAGCACTAAACTGAAGTTTTTAGTGACTGCAGCAGAAATCGCGCATCTTGACCTCCTCCCAGCAGTTTCGAGTCTTTCGCGATTAGACACATAACGAATGGTGCTTTGCATCAGGTTGTTGTTTGTGCCATCAGACGAGGCTCACTTTTTCAGGAATTGATTTACTCACAGCTTCTCTTTATTTGCATTCTTCTTCAGCAAAGTTTTGTTCACAGTATGTTTCTTAAGGAAATGCCCTGATGACTTGATAATGTCAAATAATATCATCCAAAAGTAAAGTGCTTGATTTCCAGAGGTAGAAATGACTAGAAGCAATCTTCTCAAGATTGTTTTTCTAAAGCTTTAATATTAGATCATTCAGCAAATTTGGTAACTCACCAACGGCATTGCACTGCAATTGCATAAGATCCGTTTGAAAAAAAGTTAGAATCCTCAAAGACTAGCCAGAAACCGATAATGACGTGCGTAACTGTGTTCACACAGATAGTCGACTAGTTGAGCAACAGGCAAAAAAGCATCAAAAATGTAATAAAACTTCAGCGTCGCGAAATCAGCGGTCTAGCGCCTTGTGCAAGCACGGACTCGGCCAGCCTGCTTCATTCGGAGATTCAAAATGTTGTGCATTTGCACGCAGGGCGGCGAGGTGGCTAAACCGATGATGGCTACTATAACTCGTTTGCGACGCACAGCAAACGATTGTGTATGAGCAGTGGAAAATGTGAATTATAAAACTGTAGAAAAACTTTTTTGAGGGAAAAGCTTGCCTAGCTTTGTTTCAAATCGAACTGTTACTTCCACCCTAATGCCACCCTTGGAGCAGCAAAGTTTTCTGTTCACAAAATTTTGTCGCAGTTATTGGATAAATCTTTACACCTAGTGTTTACTATATAGTACTATTTTGATCTCAAAGTCACGATCCGCGTAGCTGGCGCGATCATTTGAGAAATTGATATTCAAAGTGTTAAAGGAGAATCATGCCGTGCCCACGCCGCTGGCATTCCTCAAAATTTATTTTCAGTTACGGTGAAGCAGTTCAAAGCAAATTTTCAAATTTATTGTTTGGATGGACGATGGGGTGTATTTAATAAAGACGATTCTGCCAAAAAGGACGTTTCTTCGGGAGAGGAAATAACAGGTCTAGCTTGTCACAAAGGTAATTTTATATTGTCTAATAAATATGGATTTCGATTTAGAAGGTGGAAGGGTCATGGGTAGTAGACGGTAAGTAAAAGCAAATCTCACGTCTAGGCTAGTATGTCGCTCGGGAATATAATAGGTTGGAAACTAAGTTTTACAACTCTCTTCATAACTTTAATCTCTTTGGATGTTGGGCACTCAAATTTTAGCATTTTGTAGAAGGTAATGCGTGCTACAACTGTGCACAGCAACACACGAATTTTTGAAGCGAATTAGAAAAATTGGAGGCGTTTTCGAAAAAATGAATTCCGAAAATTTCTAGGATTGAAGCCAAACCGAAGCCGTTAGCAACCTAGACAATGCGAAATGATCTGAAATTGTGTGTGAATTATTGTTGAGGTTATTTACTCAACTAGTTCATTTATTTGTTCATTACTCAATATATAAGAAATGAAATTTGAAGATAACTCAAAATTTGACGCCCTCACAAAGTTGAACGTTTACGCAAAACTGCTGGGGACATCCGTCAATGGCTAAGGAGTCGAGCCACCAAAACTCGCCGAAACTTTGCATGCTGGAATTACTTGAACAAACACTAATATCATATTCATTAGTTGAATCAATGCTTTTTTCTTGATTAAGATGAGACCTCAAACCGTAAACCTACAGTATTCTTACAAAAATGCCTTTAACATGCAATTTCAGTATTCTTTTTGTGATCAGCACGTTAAATAACCCCTGAGCCAAATTTCAGGCAAACCTGTAAAATTAAAAATTTTTCTTCTTGCATCGTACCTACCGTCACCCTCAGTGACGTCGGAATTTAGCAGAAAAGTAGGTGCTTTTGTACTTTATTTCACAATCAACATAATGGTAAAATATGAGCGCGCCATGTTGAAAAGGATGAAAGCTATTGAAGTAGTTGCACAACTTAGTTTCCGACCCAATATTTGCTGCTATTTGTAAGCTAGAAAATTCTTGATTATAATATATTTCATCAGAAAAATGGTCTTCAAACTTAGCGTAGCCATTATCCATGATCCATTTCAGATGCACACATCATGTCACAAAGTTCATTGACATTCTACGTAGGGTTTTAACAAAATTTTAGCGTCCACCTTTCACCATTGTCCCTCTTTCAGCCTTTTGCTAAACGACTAATTCTTTGCAGAACTGGTTTCGTGCTTGTATTGCACCAAATGATAAGCATAGTGTTTCAAAAATAGAAGGCAAATGATTTTACTTGCACTCTGTGTTTATTTTTCATTGTTAAAACTATGCTTAAATGGTGCACAGCGCAACTTGAGTGACTATACTTTCAGAGCCACCCTGTGGGCCTTGCCCTGGATCGAGCAGCTCTTCGTCGTATCCACACCCTAATGCTCGTAAGCTACAGTTACATACGGAGGATATCATTTTCATGAAAACATTTTTATTGCTAGGAAAACATAACAAGAAAAGTATACAGCGTAAATGAACAACATTTTCAGAGGTATTCTGTGCGCCTTGTCCTCCATTCTGGAGCAGCTTTTCGATACTGTACCCACAACTTATTTTCCGTAAGCGCACAGTCACATACGATCATTTAATCACGAGAAAAGTGCGCAAAATACTGTGACCACCATTTTCAGAAACCAGTGACCACCACCACCACCACCCTGACCACCACCACCCTGACCACCACCATTCCAGCTGTCTGCCTTGTCCCATGTTTGGGAACAGCTTTGCTTTTTCGCCGTCCCCTCAGCAGTTTCTAATGACTTGTAAGCTTACAGTCACATACTAATATCCTTTTTGTGCTTGGAATGACGAAATCGCAGGGAAGAGGACAGCGCAAGTACTGTGATTATCACTTTCAGACACAATGTGTGCACCTTGTCCCCCTCTATTTTGAGGGAATGATGGGTCGTCCTACTCACAGTTAATGCCCGCGGTATTTTATTTTTGGTAAGCGTCCATCAGTGTTTATGAGAGGCACAAATTCATAAATTTATGTCTTCTTGATGATGAAGAATTCAGAATTTTACTTTTGTCGAAGCCGAAGCAAAGTGGTGATTACTGCACACATCAACTTTATGTTGTGTTCGAATAGAGGAAAATAAATTATCGTTAAAACACTTTTGATGCTACGCTAATTCATTCCTACTATGCCAAAAACGGGCATTATTCTTACTTTCTCCGTAAGGTTTACTTTCGTTAATGTGAGCAAAGTATGGTCCGGGTAAGTTTGAAAAGTTTGACATTTGAACAACAACAACAACAACAACAACAGACAAAATATGCTTGTGAACGAAGAGCTGGACATAAATTGACGAGAATTTTTGCGTGCAAATGGCGGATATCAAAATTTCAAACGTGGCTGTTCGTTCACGTGCAAATTTTGTCGCTCTTGGACCAAGGCAGCTTTTACGGCAAGATCTTCTTATAAATTAATGCAAACATACCGTCAGGCGATATAGAGTTTATCATATAAGACTGATTAACTGACTTCCCTTTCTTTCCAAGATAGTAGGTGCTGTTATGGTCCATATAATTTTAGCGGGACCCCTCCCCTTCCATGCTATAGATGCCTTGGGACATCTCCTCTTCACTTCGCCGCATCCTCGGGTTTCTGAAACTAAAATGAGCTTTGCTCCCCTCACAGACTATGAAAAAATGCTTGGTTAAAACAGGATAAGCTTCCGTTTCTATAGAAATACGTAAACAAATCATTAGATTGGTAGAAGGACCGGGTGAATCGTTGCGAAAAGTTTGAGGGAAAATGAGAGCTGGAAACAGGTTATCTAATAGACACTGATACATTAGCTGCGACAAAACACTCAACTCAAATCAGTATTTGAATATTAGCAACCCGAAGTCGTCAGCAACTAAAAAGTTATTGTAAGGAATCATGTTGAGTTCAAGAGCATTTGCAGCCACATTAACGTATGAGGTTGGTTCTTAAATTCCGTTTTTGATTTTCAACAGCAATAAGTCATGTACTTCTTATATCTGAATAGATTTCAGATACCATTTGATAAAGCTAAGCAAGCTCTACGATGTGCGTTCTTGCTTTTGCGTCAGCTTGATCCACCTTGATTCGGAAGCCAAAAATCTAAGTGATTGAATTGCCCGAAAAATCGAAAATCGTAACTCTTTTCGAAATAACCCTACAAATTTTCCTACAAATTCTATAAAACGCATTCCATTTCAGACATCCACATACACCACTGCTGTATTCTTTCCTCGGTTAAAAGTCAAGAAAAGGAAAATTTTATGCTTTTGCCAAAGTGAACCTCGGCTGTTCCCGCATAAGCATTTGTATACTTCAAAGCTGTAGAAGTACGAAGATAAGCTCTCAGATTGCGTCTAGTTCGGAATCGTGGATTTGGATTGAAATGTGAGACACCCAAGCAGAGAAAGTTATTAGATTGGTTCGAAAGTTCCGGGACATTTTTAGACGAGATCTGCTATTTCTCGAAACTTAATGCATGTACATCCGACAGAGGTACCATTCGATAGAGCAAAGCGCTCTAAAAGATCGTAAGCAAAAATTCGCACCAGCTTCGACCAGCGCATGCATCCAGAATCTGAGTACTACTGAAGGCTCGAAAATTAAGAAAATTCATATCTTCGTTTAAATAAATCCTAGGAACTCCAAGTTGCTCATGCAGATTACACACCACATCAGAAACTCATATGTATCATTGCTGTATTTTTTCCTCATCTAGAAAACGAGAAAACGTAAACATTCATGTTTATACGGAATGAAGCTACGTTGTTTCCATTTATGTAATTGTATAGTACAAGCTCTTAGATGTATAACAGTAAATTTTCAGCTTTCTACAGGATCTAGTTTCCAAAAATTACCGAGTTGAACTCTCCTCACGGGTGTTCCATACTAAAATCAATATTTTTTGAAAACTAGGGCCCTTAGAAAGCTGAAAATTTACGGTTATATTTCTAAGGGTTTTACTATACAATCACATTGGGAACAACGTACCTTCGTTTTTGTATAAACATGAAAATTTACGTTTTTTCGATTTCTAGATGAGGAAAAAATACAGCAATGATACATATGAGTTTCTTATGTGGTGTGTAATCTGCATTAGCAACTTGGAGATCCGTAGGATTTATTTGAACGAAGATATGAAGATTTGAAGATATGAATTTTTCCCAATTTTCGAGCCTTTGGTACCACTCAGATTCTGGATGCAAACTTACGCTTAATCGAAGCTGGTGCGAATTCTTGCATGCCATCTTGTAGAGCTTATCGAATCGTACGTGTCGGATGTAGCTGCATTTAAGTCCCGAAAAATAGAGATCTCGTCTAGAAATGTCCCAGAACTTTCGAGCCAGCCTAATAGTTGTGATATTTTTCGAAATTCTTGTAGAAAGCAGAAAATTTTCCGCACTTCTACAGACTTGCAATTGACAAAAATGCTGGATCAGCTGAGGATTGCTTGGCAAAGCTATAACATTTCCGTTTTCTCGATTTCTAACCGAGGAAAAAACAGTGCAACGTTATATTAGGTTGTACCGAAAGTTCGTCCGCACCATTTTCAAAAATTCATAACTCTTTGAATTCTTAACGAATTTGTATGATCAAAATTTTGCATAAGAGACAAACTCATGCTCTTTGCAGCAGTGCCTGAACTGTTCGTTAACGTTTACAAATGAAGGAGATAGAAGCTAAAAACCAAAATCAATCAAAATTTGAATTTTCCGTGTAGGGTCATAAAAAATCGGAAACTTGCAACAAAAATCGTAGCAGTCGGTATTGTAGGTTCTTTTACAGCTCTTTCTAACAATGCAAATTTTGCGCTGATTGAGCGTCTCTATGAAAAGTTACAATTTCCCTGAAAAATGCCAAAATAAATCAAATTCTCCCTGTATTGCTTGCTCGAAAATCGTAACTTTTCATAGAGACGCTCAATCGGCGCAAACTTTGCACCGTTAGGTAGAGCTGGTGAAAGAACCTACAATACTGACTGCTCCGAATTTTGTTGCAAGTTTGCAACTTTTTATGACCCTACACGAAAAATTCAAATTTTGATTGCTTTTGGTTTTTAGCTTCTATCTCCTTCATTTGTAAACGTTAACGAACAGTTCAGGTACTGCTGCAAAGAGCATGAGTTTGCCTCTTATGCAAAATTTTGATCATACAAATTCGTTAAGAATTCAAAGAGTTATGAATTTTTGAAAATGATGCGGACGAACTTTCGGTACAACCTAATATTAGGTCGTTCCGAAAGTAATGTCGCTTTTTTCAAACGTATGCCACATCTCATGGAACAAAGATGTGTGAGAGATTCTGGTAGCATTTGATGCAGCATTTCATTCTCTTTTTAAAGGTCATGAAGATGTTGCAATACATTCAATGAGCTTCCAAAAGAGAGTATCTGCGACCTATGCTTTTTGAGATGGCCAAGTTTCACAATTTTTCTAAAATTTTATAACAAACCTCAGAAGGAGTCCAAGTAATGGATGGATGGAGCAAACCCTACAGGAAACAGCACAGCTTTTTTCTACTTTTAAAGCTCGTCATAATTTTTGTACAGATTTTTTGATGGAACCACCGATTTTAGCAGGCTCGTCTCAGACACAAGTGCATCAAACGCCAACAAGTCTTCGGATTTTGAAACTTACAAAGATGGATTATGGTTTGGCAACAATTTTACAAACCAAACTAACATTCACCGCTTCGCTTTAGCAACTTTCGAAAATTTCGGGTACACCTTGGGGTGCCTTGGAAAAGTTAATGATGATTTTATTCCGAAAAACGTGATGAATCGGAAACAAAAAACAACTTGTAGAAAGAGGAGAACAAGCTGCGTCGAATGACACTCGAGTTGCTTGCCGGTTGTTGTTCTGAGAGATTTGTGTTGACCAAATATGGAATTTGATGGCATTGAAAAATTGATTCCAAAAACCCTAAGAAGCAAGCTAAGGAAAAGAAAAAATTGCTCTGTGTTTTATAGTGCTTGCTCTATCTACCTGCCACTTGTACTTTTTCGGAGAATAGATACAAAAATTAAGAAAAATAGCCGAACTTGACCATAGCAAAAAGCATGAGTCGCAGATTTTGGTAATTTTTCGAGAGCTCATCAAACATTATGCGTTGAAATCAGAACCATTATAAAGGGGATGAAATGCTGCATCGAATGCTCCTAAGACCTCTTAATAATGTTGATTCCACGAATAGTGGCGTTCATTCGAAAAAAGCGACATCACTTTCGGAACGACTCAATATATGGGCATAATGTAGAAAGCGTACATGTGAGCAAGCAAGAAATCTTGTAGGATTATTTTTGGTTTTGGGGGCGTTTGAATCATTTTATTTTTCGCTTCAAGCTCAATGATTAAAGTTGATGCAAAAGCATGATGGCCGTTTTGTAAAGCTTGCTTAGCTCTATCGAATGGTACTTTGACCATCGGCACGAGGTTGCTTTTGGTTGTTGAAAAAAACGAAGTCCCCGCACCTGAACTGCAAAAAAATTTACGATAAGCCCTTTGAAGGGCTATTAAAGATGTAAGTGAAGAAAATAAAAAAATAGAAAACCCATCTATTCATAATAACATAATACACACGTAAACAAAATGATTTCATCTTAGCAAAATAAATGTAATAATGTACATGTAATAAAAATGTAATAATGTATAATAATGTATTAAAAAAACGACATCGAAACTTTCCGAAAAAATCTGATATCTGTGGAGAAGGCCAAAGCTTTTGACGTTGGTGTTGTTCCCGATAATCAAAAATAAAGTCATCTGATGTTTTGATTTGTATGATCATGTCACAATACTGATTCTCCTATCTTATCGACGTCCTCCAACATTAGGGCAATCCATTTTGCTTACAGACATGCATAAATGGTTGAAAACAAAGTTCCTTTCATTAAGAGCAGTGCATTTTCTCATATATACACCGTACAAAGCTGATATACGCATTTTTCGATGCTCCGCCTCGGACTCCGGAAAAGCGACATCCCCTTTGCTTTTTATCCCCAGCGACATCCAGCTTGTCCGGTAAGCTACCTGTACCGAGCCCTGACTTTGACACCTATCTAGGATACAACGTTAAGAGTTAGAACGGACGGAGCTTATGGGACAACATGATACAATAACACATTAT